AGTGCGATCAAAGTAGCGAACTATAGCCTGGAGAGGAGTAACAACAGTTACCGGCTCTCAGACAGTAGACTGTCAATAGGCACCTCGCTAGCAGAGATCAAGTCTTACCTTATCAGATCGCGTGAGGGATTAAAAGAGGACGATCGTGTGCCACGCTCACAGTTATATCCAGTGACGTGCACACTCACATGTAAGTAATGTTTTGTTATAGGTCTACCTCAGAACTCGCGCATGCGCGGATTATATTCCAGCCCTCTGGGCTAGCCGTCTGGCAGCCTTTCTTGAGTGAAACAGAACTCAAATTTCTTAAAAGTCGAACCAACCAGTTTGAAAAAAAATTACCTAGAACTCGATCTGAATCTCAGAAGTCGAACCGTGAACACCGATCTAAGATAACTTGTAGGCACTGGGAAATGAGTTGCAGCATGTCTCTCAGCGGAAACAAAGGGTAATCCTTCAGTCTCAGCCTCGCATTCGCTGTGATTGCATCGTGCATGTTTACACTAGCTGAATACATATATATAGACAGTAAAAATACATTTAGACAATGATAGTCAATAACAGTAATTATATTATTATATAATACATTTAAAAACAAAGATTTCTTATTAATTATTTTAATATTAATAACAAACCATTAATACATTTAATAATAATAATATTGTCGTGCTGAATGGGGACGGAACGGAGACAAAGGCGCAGATGTCAGGGTATCGGGGAATACGGGGTTTAATTACATGTAAGGCAGGCAAAACGCATATGGACAATACAATGACCGGACTGGTGAAACAAACTGAAACACAGACTAAATACAGAGTACTAATGACAACAACCAGAAACAGCCGATCACACGGGAATTATACACGAGGTTAACGAGGGGGCGTGGCACACGGAAGGAGCAGATGATTGGGGTGGGACACATTGTTTTTTTATTTTATTTTACACATTGTTTGGATACATTTATTTTCTTACTTTACAAATTACTATTTTGATAAATGTGCTTAGATGTGTTTAGTACAGTATATGCTCTTCTTGTTTTATCCTGTTCATTTTGTGTTTAAATGCAAAAAAAAAACATATGTAGGTGTAATTTTTTGGGGCCGAGAACCAATTAATTGGTTTTCCATTATTTCTCATGGGGAAAATTCGATCAGAACTCAAATTTTTTAGGATTCCATCTGGAGTTCTGAACGGATTAAGTTCGAGTTCTGAGGTACCACTTTATTAGGGGGGCGCCCCGCCCCCCCAACGGATATATAAATAAAAGAAATGTTCTGATGTTTAGTTCAGCTGTTATATTGAAGAAACACATGAACACCATGAATCATGTCGGTGTCCGTTCTGCCTCCCCCCCAAGCTGTAAACCTAGGGGAAACACTGCATGCCACTGATCCAGTCTGTCAGAGACCTCTTCACAATTACATTGTCTGTGTCCTGTTTGTCACACGATCATTTTACTTATGCCTTCTGTTAAAGTAATCATTTCTGTTATACCGTTACTCTCATAATTTCTTTTGCATTGTTACTCTCCTCATTTCTGTTACACCGTCCATCTCATTATGTCTGTTATGTTTCCTCTCATCATTTCTGTTACACTATTACTCTCATCACGTCTGGCACACTGTTTACTCTTATCATTTATGTTATCCTCATCATTGCTGACACTGCTTATCTTTGATGTACACAGCCAGTGTGCACCTGCAGTGGGATAAGTTTTGTTTTTAAGTGTTTTGGGAACAAGAGCATGTGTCCCTTATCCAGTTTGAGCTATAGTCTTTGGGTGAATACTCTGCATTTACGATGAGTCATGCACTTCCTGCGTTTTCCTGTGTATTTCCTGTTGTTATGGTGCTCTCCTGGGAGGGCTGTGCAGTCAGCTGTCTCTGGGAGCAGGATGGGTCCCTGGGAACACAGCTGCTTAATGACATGGTGTCAATGTTTACCAGCTGGGGGCGACAGGCAGTTGCTTGGCATTGGCATTGTTTTGCGCATAGCTGCATGACTCATCGTAAGGCTGCACTGTGGGGTGTCTGCGCGGAGGGTGGGGGGTTGCTCCTGTCTGCTTCCTTCACTGTTGTTGCCTCCCTGTGCTCATGGGAACTGGGCTTGTGCAGCACATCTGGAATTCTGGAGGCAACTGTTGGCATGATGATGACACTTGGCGGCCACCTGACACCCCAGAGACACCGAGTGTATCAAAAGAATGCAGCCCTGCCTCAATGCCCTGGGTTCGACTGGGTGACGCCATTTGCTCCCTTGGGAACTGCAGACGGTGTGGGGTCTGACCACAGTTCACAGTGATGCCTTTCATGGAGACTGGGAGAGACCAGCCCTTTGCCTGTGTGTTTATCTACATGTTTCGGAAGGGAGATGTCATCTGCACAGTGGTGCGCAATTACTAGCCAACGTCATTCTGTCCCCTGTCCCTTTTATGAGTTGCACAGTGACTGTGAGGATTAGCTGGAAAATGGCATTTTTAGGAAATCTGTCTTTACATGTCCCACTACAGTCATGGTAGAGTCAGAATTGGTCCATACTAAAGAGAGTGAGGCAGGAGAAACAGAGACACACAGAGGAAGAAAGCTAGAGAGAGGCGGGGAGAAACAGAGACAGAAAAAGGAAGAGAGAGACAGAAAGAGAGAGGCACAGAGAAACAGAGACAGAGGAAGAAAGTGAGAGAGAGATAGGGAGAGCAAGAGAGAGAGCATAACATTGCACCACATTTGTCAGAAACACCAAAGATTGAGGATAGATAGTACCCCTAGCCATTACTAAGACATTCATGTGGGAGATTCCTGCAATATGGATTATGTGGTGGGAGTGTCTGGATAGGCGTGGCTTCCTAGCAATGCAGCCTCAGTGTGAGCCAATGGGTAATGAGATGAGGAAAACCACCCCTTGCTGACACAGAGACAGGTCTTCACCGATCAAGTGTGTTCGCGGAGCTCTGAATCAGGTGGTGGTGGTGAGGGGTGGATACACATTGGAGTAGCCAATGGCATAACACACACAAAGAGGACCTTAAGGAGTCCCTTTAGTGCAGGGTCCGGCCCAGAGTCATCGTTTCCTGCTCCTTCACGTCCCGCCATCTGCTGTTTTAATTATCTGGCAGCATTTAAAGAATCAAACCAACCAGTCTTGTCCAGACTTTCATAGTGCTGGGTGGGCTTGGTAGGCAGCTGTAGGTTTGACCTCTGGGGAGGGGAGCCAGTGCTGTGAATAGAGCAAATTTGAGGATGGCTGTCAGATGCTTTGACCAGTTGTTGTTTTTAGTACCAAATTACAGATTAGCTCTGTAAAAGTGGTTTGGAAAATGTATGGATATTTACTGCCCCCACTGGTGAACTTTAACCCCCTGGTTGGTTGTTTATGGTGCCAAACATAACTTACTGGCTGCTTTAGATCCCCCTCTTCCTATGGGAGAAGATTGCCACTCCCTGTGCAGCTTTGTTTATAAACCATTGGCCTGGCTTATTCAAAACATTTACTGCTTCATTATCTGTTCTTGTTTATATCTGTAACTATCTGCACACTGCACCGTTAACAGGAAGCACTAGCTGTGATTTTCACACTCTTTAAGCTTGTTGACCGTGCCCCCCTGCTCTTGCAGGTTCTGCCAAATGAGGAGAAAGGCTCCCATGATGGCTCCGAGGAGGAGGCCTGGGAAAAGGCCCTGTCTGTGGAGAGGTTTGGTGACATCATAGCCAAGCCAGTCGCTGCCAACGTGGAGAAGATGGGCCGCAGTTACGGAGAGAGAGACTTCGAGTGTGAGTTTTTCCCACCATGGAGGGTTTTGCCGTGCATTGCTTAGCTCCCAGATAATCAGGTGAGCCAAAGAACAGAGGTATCTTATGGCTTGAGGCTGTAGATTAAGCCTGTAGGGTAGCTTTATACCTCTGGAGATTCTCCATCCCTACAAGTAAGGTGAATTTTTCCTTATTTATGTGTTTCTGTGGCCCTGTCTTTTTACATATGGATGTGTCAATGACTGTTTTTTGCATGCAAACAGTAAACTGTGTCTACTGTTAACACAAGGACAGTGACAACATTTTCATCTGCACAGTGGTGCGCAATCACTAGCCAACGTCATTCTGTCCCCTGTCCCTTTTATGAGTCACACTACGACTGTGAGGATTAGCTGGAAAATGGCATTTTTAGGAAATCTAAAGGCATTTTGTAATTATCCGTCACACTGCACCACTGTGAACCTGTATGAATGCTGTCTGTAAACTTCGGGCTCCTGGTGTGGACAGTGTCAGTAGTGTGGGGAAGGGAAGGGCAGCAACCTGCTCGACTGACCAACACCACCCTCCCCTCCCACAGACCACCGACACACTTTCCACCACACCCACCACCCTCTCTCCACCCACCTGCCTCCACCCACACGCGTCCGCAAGCGTGCTCTCGGTACGGACCGCCGTCGGAAGAAGAAACGCAAAAAAAAGAGGACGTCCGTGCCTCCCTCAGAGGTCACGCCCACTATCCATGAGGTGGATGAGGAGGAAGAGTCAGATGCTGAAGGGCGGGGCCAGGTGTCCAGGCCCACTGAGCGAGCAGACTGTGACATAGAGGTGGGTTGGGGAGAAGGAACCATTAGGAAGGTCAGTCCTGGTCCCTTCCTACTTTGCACACTTATATTGAAAACTCCATTTATTATTTGAAATGCTGTTAACGAACTAGAATATGCTGTCTACATCCATCCTTTTAAAGGTTATTGCTTGAATGTTACAGAATATATAATTGGCAGGACCCCTTGTGTGAAGGAACAAACACTATTTTAATTTCTAAATCATGTGCCTTTTTAGTGACTCAAAGTGGAATTTGGAGGGCGCATTTTTAAAGAACACAAAGTGAACTTTGGAGGCCACACTTCTAAAGTAGACTTGAAGTAGACTTCCGAGGGTCCACTTTTAAAGCAGATTGGACTTTCCTTTTTTGCAGAGTCGCGGAGAGCAGCACTTTGCCCTACCCCTCCCACTTGCCAGCTTCCACATAGAAAGTGAGTGCCCCCCACTAGCAGAAGATGTGCCTGCTTACATGATCCTGGAAGAAAGAGACGAGGCGTCACAGGAAGCTTCAAGCAGGTAGGGCCTCAGCGGTAATGGTATACCCAGGGAAAAGATGTTTGGCAGATCTGTCAGATCCTTGGGCAGATGGATCAGACAGAACCAGCCAATGCAACATGGCTTCTTGCTCAAACACGTGCTTTCTTGGTTTATTAAAACATAACAGGCAAGCAGGAGAAGAAGTCCTTCCTAGATTAGACTGGTTTCAGAATCTGGAGCTAGTATTCTTATCACATTTGACTGTTTTCTATGATGCAATACAGCTGGAGTGCAGCTGCGTTACAGCTGCGTCTCCACAGTTTTTGTCGTCATGTTGCGATGAAGCAAACAAGCAGATGGTCGGCCTCTTATTACAAACAATTTCCTTTGGTATATTAAAAGTGTTCTGATTCTGATTTATGGGGCAGTTTGTACCGAAGGAGCATGAAATGCGGAAAGCTGTGAGAGAGAACAGCTTCACCCAAAACATGTGGGTATCTGAAGATGGTGCAGTGCTCCTCGTGCCCTGTCCCTGAACCCTACCCACTTCATGAGCGCAAATGATATTTAGGGCATAAAAAATTGGTGCTGGCTCTTTTTCTGGAGAGCTTTTAAGGGTCCTGGGTCCTCCATAAGTGAATCCTATACACAACATAGGCAGCCTCTATGGGCGCTATCTTCTGAGGGAGCACCAACTTAGAAGTCACATGGGCTTCAATCATCCCTGATCACACTGCCAGTCCAGAAATTACAACACTGCCAGTGACCACACTTCCAGTCAGTCAGTGACAGGACTTTCAATGTTCGGACTGCCATCCCCAGTGAGCACACCCATTTGGTGAAGCTGCCATTACCTGCAGGTTCTCCAGCACCCCTGAGCCACCCAGTGCCCTCACCCGAGCCTGGTTCCGGAGGAAGTCCATTCACCGGCTGGCAGGGGCACAGCGTGCGAGCTATGACCTGCGGGAGCGGATCTGCATTGGCAGCATGACTACCGCAGGGGGGGGTGCCGTCTACCACAAGGTACCCACTGACGAGGCGGAGGCCCAGATGCTGGCCAGCGCTGACCTGGACGACATGAAGAGTAAGAACCTCTTCCGACACATGCTGGAACCAGATGGAGCATGGCACAGGAGTATTCCCTCTGTTCTGTAGCCAGTTCCAGAATGAACACAGTGCGGTACTGTTCCCTCTCTATTACAGCCAGATCCAGAACAAGTGCAGAGTGGTCCTGTTGCATCGTGCAATTCTGTTTCCTCTGTTTTACAGCCAGATTCAAAATGAGCATGGTATGGTCCTACTCCCTCTGTTTCATAGTCTGGTCCAGAATGAGCACTGCACAGTAATGTTCCCTCTGTCAGGGCATGTTTTTCAGCTGGCTCTTGTCACACTGCTTCTGTAGGGTCTTGTTTTAGTTAGTAACAGTGATGACGAGAAACTGAAGTTGTCAGGTCCAATGCCAGTGATCCTCGGACAAGGATCCCTCTGGGGAGGTGCTGCACAAGGGCCTGAGGGCTGTATCCACACACTTTGTGATGGCGAAATGAAGCCAGGGCAGGCAAAGTGCTGTGGATGGGATTCCACTGATTTACACAATGTAATATAACTATGTGTATTAATAATGACAGTCCATAGGAAATGTCTATAGATGCTGACTGATGGTACCATGGGAATGAAGCTTTTGATGGCTTTTGCCATTCAGCTCTCTTCCACAAATCAGCACCCTGGGACAATGACAGGAGCCCCTACGCGTCCTATTCTGGAAGTGGGGAGGGTCCCTGGGCTTTAATTAAAGCTGCTTTTCTAATTGATCACAGGCCCCCCAGTTGCTGGCCCATCCTGAGCACAGCAGAGGTGGCAGTGAACTCCCATTAAATGGCCAGCACTCACAGTCACAGTCCATACTGGATTTTCTTTTTTTTGGGAAGCTGCAGTTGGTTGTGTTCAGTTAATGAACTGGACCATCCCAGCTGATACAATCCATTTGAAAGGGCAGCATGTTGATCACACATAAATTAATGTTCATTAGCCAAGTGTGTGAATAAAACAGCTTCCTAATGGTGATGTTATGTCATCAGTGTGAATAGTGTGTCATCTACAGTATATAGTAAATAATGTGTATTATCTCTATGATGACAGGCGTAACCTCACAGATCAACATTCCTTCAGCTCATCCACAGTTTGGGAGCCATCCCTAAAAATGGGGCTTGGCTAACATAGAGCCTCTCCTAATTTGCTGTGATTTTTAAATAGCAATTGTATCGTTAATACATTTGGGCGATAGGGAAACTGATCTGTTGCATCAGCATTGTGTCTGTTGTCATCAGTTTGGGCATAGGGTTCCATGTTGCAGACTTATGAATCAGCTGTGGCTTTTAACCAGCGAGTTCAAGGCCATGTCCAGATCTGTGTACCTATCTCCCAGATGATTAATGGCTCCATCAGGTGTTTTGTCAGCTGAGTCACTGACTCCAGAGCATCCAGTGTTCCAGAGAGGCCACCTCCAAGCTGTGATTGAAGAAGATGCTAACTGATAAAGCTGGGTGCTGCCAAGGGATATGCCGCTCCTGTTCTTCTTTAGGGTGACGACCTCATAACATATTTGTCAAGTCACAAGCCAGCAGAAAATGCCAAAAGGCCTCCTCTTGTGGTTGCCATAACAACAGAATGGTAAAATGCCATTGGGGGAAAGGAGCTAAAAGGCTTTTGAGGATAAACTAGTGCGTATCTAATTGACATGTTCTATTAATAGATAGTATTGTCAGACATGTTCCTTTATTTCTGATACTTGGCTGCCTGATGAAAGGTGCTCTGTGGTATACCCCTCTGGCCCCTGGTCATGTCTGTTCTCCCACTCTATTATGGCAAGGTCATCGCTTTGAGGACAACCCAGGAGTCCGGCGTCACTTGGTGAAGAAGCAGTCTCGTAGCCAAGTTTCTCGGACTAACAACAGCTCGCCCTCCCATCTGCTATCCAGCCTGAGTAAGAGGAGGAAATCGGACAGGAAAACCCATGAGGTGAGAGGGTGGGTGAGGGTCATCCTCCAGGCTGAGCTGTGGCCTGACAGGCATTCATAGTCAGCCAGCTGGTGAAGGTGCATCTCTAGGAATTCTGAATTCACTCTGCATCTGTTTGTGCCTGTCTGTCTGTATCTGTGCATGTGGGTCTGCGTCTGGGGCCAGGTCTTTGTGGAGCTGAATGAACTGATGATGGACAAAGACCAGGAGCTGCACTGGAAGGAAACGGCACGCTGGATAAAGTTTGAGGAAGATGTAGAAGAGGAGACGGAGCGCTGGGGCAAGCCGCATGTGGCTTCGCTGACCTTCCGAAGCCTGCTTGAGCTGCGTAGGACCATTGCTCATGGTGAGACAGGGCGGCAACCCTCTTTGCTACCCTACGCTAAGCTGGAATCATGCTGAAGTGTCTGCAATCCCCATAAACCACCACAGGTGCTGTGCTGTTGGACCTGGACCAGACAACATTACCCGGTATTGCCCACCTGGTGGTGGAGACCATGATCATCACCGACCAGATCAGGGCAGTGGATCGACCCAATATGCTCAGAGTCTTGCTGCTCAAACACAGGTGAGTGAGAACATGGTGAGTGGATGGATCCATAAGCCACAAACCACACATCAGTCTGCCCCCTAACTAATAAGGTGCTCAGGAGCATTGTAAAGTCCAATTGGCATGGTAATCAAGCTACATTATCACTCGCCACAGAATAGCTGGCACGTAGAGCACTAAGGGTGGGTGTGCCTGTGCTTCAACTGTACTGCATTTGTGTTTGAGGCATGGGTAGACAGTGGCTGTGGCTTCCAGCTACAACACTTCAGTGATGATGCCCTTAGACATCCACACTCCCTTTCTTTCCCAGCCACCCCAACGACGAAAAGGATGGGTTCTTTCCCCGCCATCCCTCAGTCCACAGTATGGGCAGCTTCCACCGCAACCACAACCAACTTCCTGACACCAGCCTGCCCCTGGTGACTGAAGACCACGCCGACTCCCATGGCAGAAAATCCCCAGAAGCTGACAAAGAGGTATTTGTGAGCTTATTTGTGACTTGCCTGCCAACTGGTTTCGTGTGTATGTTAGGTGTGGAATGAAGTACACACATTCATGGCCATTAATGTACAGCAGCACTTGCTAATGTACCAGGCAGCAGGTTAGCGTATCAGGTATGGAAGTAAATTAATGACAAAAGTTGTTGATGAAAAAAAACACGTTGAATTACACTTATCGAATAAAAACGCACTGCATTAATGACGCTTTGAATTTTTGGGGACTGTAATTTAATATGTGCATACATTTAAACATTGAACATTTCAACTGAAAACATTTCAATCATAATTTCATTGCTTAAATATTCATTACAAAAA